GTTTATACTGAGGACCTTGGGAGGCGCGTAAATTGGACGGGTGCTTGCTTTTTGCCTGCAGGGGTTTGCCGCATGGTCTTCGTCCCCAGAAGGATAGGTGCATTAGTTACATTTGCTAGAGCCAACCTGAGAACAGAGGGTTTCCTCGCCCCTGTGCGCTTGGCAAATGCCATTATGGTTTCAACGGGCTCAACGCTAGTTCATCGCCCTGCGAGGCATATCCAAATCTCGAGGCATTGAAAGACCCTCCTATACAGGCGCAGCAGACGAATTGCTCATCCTAGGCCGTTCAGCCTCATGCATTGAGTTGGTCGACGTGCGTGGACGCGACGGCAAGGTCATCTTCTGTGCGGGTGGTGCAGCGGCCGCTTCGAGCTGCTTCCAGGGCTCTTCCTCGCCCTCGCCCTCGTCCTCATCGTCACTGGAAGACTCCTCGCCCCGGCGGCCATGGCGTTGAGTCTCATCTCTAAACTTGCGTCTCTCACGCAGTTGTTCCTTGTGTCGGGTATCTATGCAATTCAATTGTGAGTATTCTACTTCAAATGAGATTCCAGGATATACGCAGCAGCATGACTTACCTCTGATCTCCTGTGTCTTGACAGCATACTGCTGGATCTCCTCCTTGCTCAAAACCCTCAACACAATCACATAATCTGACCGCTCCTCGAACCGTTCATTGCCCGCTTCCAAAGCCTCCGGATTCACGAGCCGCCGATCAATCTTCGTCCAGCGAGCTCCCGGTGGAATCCCCTGTTTATGGGCGTCTTTGAGAGGGGCGACCCCCTCCCTCACCGGGTTTGGTTCCTCTGGGAAGGCCGGGCGCGGAGCTTTGAGGATCCCCTTAGGAGGAGCCTCGGGCTCCTTTGGAGCAGCCGGCTCGACAGCAATAAGTCTTTTGGGGTCATCTTTGGCCATGTCTACCGAGGGGGATCGTCGCGAGTCAACGGCGTGGCCATCCTCCAACATGCGGTGGGAGCGAGAAGAGCGGTATCCACGCGAGTGGTCGCGGTCTCGCCTGTGGTGCGAGCGGTCCCGACTGCGGTCACGGTCGCGGTCGCTTTCGGTGTCGGTGCTACTGTGCCTGCGACGTGCGGGCTCACGTCTGTAGTTTCGCAGGTCTTCATCTGACGTGTCGGTATCATCGCTGTGCGTCCGCCGCCTAGAGTGTCGCCGCGATCGACCGAGGCGACGGGCATCGGCGGGGTCCAAGTAAGCTTGCTTGGTTCTTTCATCGGCCAGAGCTGCTTCTACCAGCTCCCGCGATGGGGGCTGGACGGCATCGTGGTCATGCTCGACGTGTGGGCGTCTGTGCTTGCGTCGTGACGGACGGTGGTTATCGTGGTCCGACATGTCGGAGTATCCGCCTCCCAAGGCCGCTGTTCCAAGTCCCATAGTAGCGAGCGCGCCGACGTCATGTGGCTTGGGGTGGTGGTCTTCTGGATAGCGGTTCTCCCGATCGTTCGCGTGGCGCGCTCCGTGGGCACGGCGGCGGCGACGCTCATCACCTCGGGAGGGGTATTCAGCGTCAGAGTCTTGAGGTACGGCAACCAGGGCTTGATCATGGAATCCATCATTCGATCTGTGCGGGTCCCGATGGTCTTCTTTGCCATACGCTGAGCTTCGCGGCCGTTCACGCCCGAGCTTGTCAAGGCCCCAGGATGTTGGGGGTGGGCCATGAGGACGGTCTTTTCGTGCTGTCCACTGGGGGTTTTCTTCCACGCCAGTGTAACTGAGCGGCCGATCGAGAGAGTATCTCGGCCCACGATGACGCGGCTTGACAGGGTAGTCCCGATCGAATTGCTCACGGGCATTGGTGTATGAATAGGCATCGAAATCATCGATGTCATCGCCTTTTCTCAGCCCGTCGTACGCTGGATAGCGTGGTGAACGAGGGGGCGGGTGGACACGGTGGTGATGCGCACTGTGACCAGTCCGGTGCCTGTCATCATTCCGTGGGCCAATATGGCCCGTGTCGCTCGCGTAGTCGGTGCTATAGATTCGGCGATGGGCGGGGTGTCGAGGGGAAGCAGGGACTATATGATGACCGGAATCTGTGGGAAGAGGGCTCGGGGTACGGCGGTGAATTGAGTGGTGCACAGGTGAGAGATGTTGACGGGATGTGGAAGGTACAGCCAGACGCACTGGTGTCTCGTAGTCGGCTTGTGTTGTTGTGTTGCTTCTGTGTCTGGTGCGGGGCTGGACACTGTATTCGGTGCGTTTTTTGGCGGACGCAGTCGGATCACGGACTCGATGGGATGATATTTGGTGGGCCTCGAGTTTCGATGGTCGCCCTGAGCGGTACCCAAAAGCACTGGCGTATCCAGTATCGGACGGGTAGTCGGCGTAATCGTAGCGCCTTGGTGCATCATAAGGGTCGTAGGAGGAGGTTAGTTCTACCATACCGGTTGACGCTCTCATGGGGTCAATCATGGAGTGTCGGCCTCGGCTGGGAGACAGATTCCGGTAGTGAGTCGACATTTTTAGATGTAACTGAAGAGCGATGGATGCAGATAATGATAACGCCTGGTCTGTTCAAACCAGGTGTAACAGCTCTTCTCCGGTCGGCTTCGGGAGATGAGTATTTAACAATCCGAGTCGGGCTATGTAGAAATGCCCAACCTGGTCGGTTGGCTCGAAGGCGAGGATTCGGTCAAAAGTCAAGAAAAATGGAGCCGAAATTGACACGAAGCCCGGAGCCCAATAGTTGCCCAACTCAACAATGAAGGAGGGGATTCAGAAATGTGTTGAAATGAAAGGTGTGAACAATGACGCAAAAGTGGGTTGGGGTTGGACGAAAGGTTAGTAAGAAATGCCAAGGGATTTCCACTGATGATTATTCATTCAAGTGTCTCTCCAGGGATCTAGGAAGGAAGTGGACAGCTCTGAGATGAAATAGAAGACAAATAGAAAATAAATAATAGAAATACTAGAAATGTATATAAAATATAATTTCCATGGATCCAGAGGATGTGAACCTTGGGAACTTAAAGCTGTCAACCGTGGATGCCATGTGTGGTTCCCGCCCTTTAACTATGAAACTCCCTTGCTTCATATGCGCAACACTCCCCCGATAGGCGGTCAAGAGACTTTCATTTTTGTTTCGCCCGGGTAAAGCTTGGAAGCCATATATGTGGGTTCCAAGGTTTGAGAGTTTGAGCATCCACAGCCGTTTTATGATATCACTTGAGCCGCATTAGAAGGGGAAAATTGGAGTTGTTTTGGTGAAATTTAGGAGGGGGAATCACGGATATATAACCCTAGGTTTTGATTCTTTATACCTAATGTTCTCTCCCAACTTAATTAACATACAATATAGAGGCTGTGCAATCAGGTGAATTGGCTCAGCCTGTCTATGGGAATGAGGTCATAGATGAATCCACCTTACTCCGAGATTGTTCAGAGGCATCTATTGAGCACCCAGTTTACATACCCAAAGAAGTATTTTGTTGAACAAAATATACTAATATGAACTTAGTACCAGAGGCTTAGTGTATAGAGCAAGTGGTAAAATTCCTTGTCCTACTTCTCATCTCGTTGAAATCTATCAACAAAGTTGGTTACGTGAGGTATGTCCCGTATATCGCTCAAAACATTCATACATCTACCTAGCTATGCACCAGCTCACCGATTTATAGACTCGGAAATCCCAGCCTCAGAGTCGTTCTATGCACCTACGCCTACATGATCCCTAACATTGATGCTTCCAAGGGACTTCGAGCTAACCCGAACGACAATAGCGACGGCTTCGCGTCCGAGCAGCAAGGGTAAACGGTGGGCCTTACTCCGTACTCGACAAGTTAATTGACAAGTCATTTCTTTTTGAGATGTTAATTTAGATTAAAATTACCTACCCATCTGCTGCGTAGGGCGTGCATATCGGAGCCATAGATGCCGCAATAATTAACACACATACCAATGTCAGTCTCCTCCTACGGCTTAGACTTAAAACTCTTGCCCCACCACCTTGTTTTTCGCGGGATCCTCGTCGAATCCTATCTAGCCCTCGAACATATAGTCAGTGGTTTCCACAATTAAATTTGAATGCTCTAAGTGGATATTAGGAATAAATTGGAAGATAAAGGTTCTCTAGTGGCCGTCAAATTATCTACTACAGCTTTTTATATCCACCTCTCCCGGTCGCTCGTGGTTTTTCTGACTTCAATTCTTGGGAAATCCTCACAATTTTCTACCTCCTACACACTTTAAAGTAATTAATTCTTGCTAACTAGTGACTATAGGATCCACTCGGCTGTTGAAATAGGATGTCATCACGGGATTTAGGGTGGCTTATATGCCGACTCGATAAAGTCTAGATATACGAAATGCTCGATGACATTAAATCAACTTAGGGGCTGGAATTCAAGACCCTAAGCAGGCAAAAGTGATACAATTATGATTGGTATATAAGTCGTGGTATGTTGAAGAGGATCTTTTCCATTGACTGAATTCTGCACGGCGATTGTGTGTGGTATATTACATCATGAAGTCGGATGTTTGACCGTAGGCGCGGCCGTCGGAATCAATATATTGCCAATTACCACGCTTTCACCCTCGGCAATCTTTGTATCTATGCATCGAAGAAGCATAAGAAACCCAAAGTCTCTATTATGGGAAATATGGCCTATTCTAACCAAAGCACTACTTCACGACCCACTCATACTCCTTTTCAATGGGGCAGGCAGATGCACGGAGGAGCGCCGTATCCGAGCCGGAGGTCTGGCAGCCGGTCATACTAATGTTTTCGCGGGAGGAATTCTGGGAATACATATTATGGTCATCAGACTAACCGAAATAGAAAAACTCAATTTGCTTTTTAAGAGAGCTTATAATCATATGTGCCTCCTAAGTTTGAGAGCTCAAGAAAAGAAGAAAAAAAGACGGAAAGAAGGAAAAATGGAATTGACATATGGTACAATCTATTGGGATGAATCAGCTTGTATCTTTCTTCCGAGACTGACACAAGGACTAGACGAAGGAGTCTAGCGACAACCCCATTTCACTCACTCGGGCTTCTGGCCGACCATAAGGTACATTGGGGTAAACAATTTCTTCTGAGCACCCTCGACTAAGCAATTAGCACCCAAAGAGAGGTTATCCCCAGTCTTTTGTGAGCCCTTCGGGAAGAGGCCGATAGTCTCACCAGCACCGATAAAACGATGAGCAATGCCACGGCCCCACCAGGTCATACGAGCGATAACGAAAAAGTCCCAGACGGAACCTATGTGCTTGAAGGAGCCCGCTAACGGGTAGTACCAGGGGATAGGATCAGGACGAGCAGCCATATCCTCGTGGTGAAGCAAGCTAAAACCGGCGTTACGGAACGCAGTCAGGCCTTCAGAAACTTTGACCATGTTCGAAATTCCGTCCCCCTGCTCGATACCTAGACGGATACGACGGTGCTCGGGGTCATCGTTGTTGTAATCGTCAGTCATGAACCATTCATAGACTGCAAATTTACCACCAGGCTTTAGAACTCGGAAGATTTCCTTATAAACACCCTCAAGTTCGGGAGCGTGGACGGTAGCCTCGATCACATACACAGCATCGAAGCTGTTATCGGGGAACTTCATCTGCATAAAGTCGCCCTTAACGAATACCATCTTATCCGAAAGACCATGCTTTTGGGCGTAGTAGGTGGCGCGGTCGATTTGGTAGTCGTTGTTATTCAAACCGGTAATATGGGCACCGGTGAACTTGACTATCTCGCGTGCGGGACCACCAACACCACAACCGACATCTAGAACATTCATGTCCTTGGTGATACCAGCCTGTAGGGCAAGGTAATGCTCATGGCGGGCGATGGCCTGGTGGAAAGGCTCACCGTAGGCGAATCGGCAAAAGTGAAATGAGGTGCTCCATCCGTACTCGTAAAAGTCGGTTGCAAGGTTGTAGTAGCTAGGAAAAGATTGTTAGTATCGAGTATATATATAAACCATCAATATTTCGCAGGACATACTGTCGGGTCAGAGTTGCGTACTCCGCTTTCCGGGCCTGACGATCGCAGGGCGTTAGTGATAAGATTATTTCACTAGGGATGGGCAGTACCAGACCTCGCGAATCGCATTTGTCTCATCGGTAGCTTGATTGTCCCAGTGCTTGAAGTACTCATCTATAGCAGCCTTCTGAGCGGTGGCATCCTTTCCGCGCATAGCAGCGAGACCACCATTGGCCTTGGCCGACTTGCCGTGGAGGACCTTGTTGAAGGCAGCATCGCGTGCGACATCCTCATGTTCCAAAGCGGAGGGAGTCATGGTGCAGAGAAGGAGTAATATTTGGTAGGACTTTGAAGTAGAAGAAAATTAAGAGTCTATCCAAAGAACAACACAACGAAGACATGGTATATATAGTAAATTGAGGATACCAGAAAAGCAGCTTGCAAAAAATATACAGAAAGGAAATTAAGTTGTAGAATGGGTATAGAAAAGATGAATACATCCGTGGATGAGTGGAAGGCCAATCAGCCAATCAAATGAGATCTTTTTGAGGTGGTCACACTCTGCTCTCTGACGGAACAGGCACTTTCCGTGCTATGGTTGAATCGGATGTTGCAGCTCCCGTGCGCTTGAGTTAATTGGTCACATCAGCCCGTGGACGTTCCACTTTTTTATCGATTTCCTTTCGCTACATTCTTTTGGCCGTTCCGCCCTTGGATACCATCGGCTTGCAGCTGGCATCAAGTTACCGTGGTGGCGCCAGACAGGTTAGATTAGATACAAAATCAAATAGAACATTGCATTACATATGTTGTACACCAGAGAACTAAAGTAGGTTTGGCTTTGGCAGCATAGTGAAAGTATTAGATTCTATGAATGGTTTAGTTGGCGTGTTTGGTATTTATATGGTCACTCGACCATATAAGTGCTCATGCACAAGCACCGTTTGCACTGTAAGCTACTTTGTACTCGGATAATCCACTCCCTCAAAATAAAATATTGGTATAACTTAATCCCACCTACAGTGAAAATTCAGCCCAGGCCTGATGTGTTGATTTTTACTTCTCGACCAGCTACCATATCACCACTAATTTGTTAGATTCTCGCTACCTCATATATGGATCGCTTGAAGATACGTATAGAACAATCTAGTTCCCTAATGCCAAAATACGAGCAAGATCCTCCCCTTCAATGTAGTTTACCTCATTCTTCATACACACGTCTACTGCCGTTTCAACAATATTGGTTCCTTCAACAAGATCGTACCAGCCACACATGTCATTCTGAGCTAGAAGGCTCACTCCTACCCCCGTAATATCGGAAATATTCATCTGACCTAATATAGGAGCCTTGCCCGAATTCACCGGCGGTACTATACGGGGCCAACTTAGCCGTAAGCTGATTTGCCTAGAACGGAGAGTTAGAGCGAGGTTCTCGCGCTTTGCTTATAGCAACTAGATACTTATCCGCTTAAATATTAGCTTTAGTCATATTGGGATAGGTATTGACTTCTTACTACTAGCTTCGAGTATCCTCCTTCTCTTATTATAGTGCTACCCTCCGACGGGACGAAGAAAAAGGAAATCTTAGGAATTTAACGACCGGTGGGGCTCTTGTAGATGTTTTGATTAATTGGAACTAATGAGGTGTCTACTGTTTTAGAAAATGCAGAGTGCCATACCTGCTGTAGACACAAGTTGATTTGACAGTTTCGAAAAGCTCTAATATATCGGCTTAGCTCTTAATATTTTGCAAATCTACGTTTAGCACATTGATATTCCTAGGCCGGATCTCGCCTAGTCGTAGAATGTTGTCCTTTTGTTGAACATTTCTGATGACACTTGTGAGATTCCCTAAGTGAGCTAGCATCAAACTGGTCATGGATCGAGCATGAGCAGATCTAAGTGCTTATATAATACTCAGTGAGCGCATCAGGGCGCTTAGGGGCGTGTTCAGATCTACTTAGTGAGCAAAAAGCGGCAAGATCTAAGCACTAAAACGGAAAGGGAAGGCCAAGAAGTGGCAGAAGTACATATATACCTTAATATTACATAGCCACGAAAACGTAATCTCATACAAAGTTCCCTCTACAAAGTACGAACCTCACCTCATCCCTAACCACCACATTGCCCGCACCAAGGTTATACACAACCTGGACTACCTATAGGCGTATTTATTATTCCCAAAAACAGCGGGCACTACATGGGTAATATCTTGCCATATGTCATCCACAACAATCAAAGAAACCAACAAGAGCTACTGGCCAGGTTGAATTCCTCATTATTTCGATTCACCCTCACACCCGCATGAAAGGATTGGAGCCAGACGCCCGAACCGAGGCGCAGACTCTGCAGAAGAAACCCGCACGAACCAATAACCCGTATGTTCAAGTGCCGAATATGACTCCACCCGGGCACCCATTAATAGGAGCCTTACATTCAATATGTATAGGTAGACCGCTTCAGGTAAAAGACAGGCAACGCGCCTACGACTTCCACCATAACTCGATCACCTCCCGAAGACGATGTGTACCCAGTTACTAACTCCAGCGGTAATGGCCAGAGCTTCTGATTCTCTGGTATGTCCGGTCCCGCCGCAAATTACCATATCCCAATGCCTAGGTCGTCGGTTACTAGGCGCAGTTCTGGCCGATCAGGACCCGGGTCGTGGGTGAATATGTTGGCATCAAATAGACGGGTGTTGCCACGTTGTTTCTCTTGCTCTGGCTGGTCGATTTCACGTTCACTTCACCGCTGCTTAAGCACTGTCGGCTGCTGTTCGCTGTGTCCATTTGCCCGCTGGGTATCCTGCTCCCTATATTTAGGGTTTCGATTCTGTTGTCGTTGTTTGTTGGCTGTCCGAGTCGCACCTTTAACCTTGGGTTTGACCAGGCTTCTATACTTAGGCTTTCGGTGCTGTAATGGGAGCCCTGATTATGGGCGCCTGTGTGTCAGTTTTGCGATATATAGATAGTCTCGTCCATGGCTGGTTTTCGAGTGTTCTCACGGTGCTTCATAAAATCAGACATTGGCTTGATATAACTATATTTACAGTTCCAACCCTTCATTCAAGGCTTCCGGACCTTCTCCGATCAAAATCTCACAAGTCAAACTATCCTCCCTACCAATCGGTTTATCCATTTGACACTTCACGTCACTATGTCTTTCTACGCAATGTCAAACTCCATGTTCAACGCCATGTGCAACAAGATCTCGGATACCGAGGCCGACAGCGAAGGGCAGAATTCAACTCCTCTTCCGTATGGCTGGCGCTTGCCCCAGCCTAACAATTTCTCTTATGCCGATGCCATGATCAGCCCGCTGATTTATCGTGCACAATCAACTCCGGCTCCGTTCCCGGACACCATATCTGTGCTCGTGCCCACGCCCGACTACCTCTCTACCGGAGCCCCAAGACTGGTGGTATTATGGGTGAGATGCTGCGGATGCAGCAATTTGGTCAATCCTGATCTAGCGCCGGAGATGAAATGTCCGATTTGCTCGCATACTGAGTGCAGTTCCTGCGGCAAAGAGAATGTTCCCTAGACTAGGATAGACTGTATGGGGTTTCGTTGTGTCTGGGATGTTTGGGTTTTACTTTCTATCCTCTTTTCCTTTACCTCTCTTGCATTTCCTTTCTTTTTCTTGCCTTTTGGTTGTCATTTTTCATTTTTCATTTTCATCTTCTTTTTGATTGACCGTTCTTTTGTTGATTGCCATGGTGCATTGGTGCATCTTAGGGTCTTGGGCGGTATACTATAGATGATTTGCCTTGATCCTGGATAACGTTCGGACATAGTGCCGATGATGCGAATGATACGCCTGCCCAAACAAAAGTCACAAGCATTGAGGAATCATATAAAGGGCATAGGTAGGTAGTTATTTGTTTAGACTTGCGAAATACTTTGCGGTATATATATATATATATATATATCCCATCCATCATATATATAAAGGGTGGCATGTGACACCTGTAGACCTCCTAGATGCTCCATCGTTCTAGAATAGTAGTGGCTCTATCTTCGAGGGCGATAGATAATTAATAGAAATCTTGATTTATTCAGGAACCTGGTTAGACGCTGTTGAAGGAATTGAAGAATCAATTCTAAATGCAATGACAATGGATAGTTCAAACAATTATAAAGATACGCTATGGCAGGAGGAGATAAATGGCGACTAAACCGATTATGAATGTCTATGAGGATTTGTTTCTTTTTCTTACGCCGTTCCACTGGCAGGCCTACCTACATGGGATGCCGAAAGATCGAAGGTCAGTTCAAAGGTTTTCCGCAGTTGCCAATGCGGAAATATATTGCTAGGGTCAAATTTTTGGCAGAGGACGACATTGGCATTAGCCTTATAGATTTTTGGCATACAATCTTGCATTCGACTGCTTCTGTCTGATATCATTGAATTAGAAGCGACGTATAAATATGGGTGGTGAAGGAGTATTGAGCAAGAAATCACCGAGTTGCCCTGAACGGATGGATTGTACTGGGAGAACATGTGTATCTTCGCCCCAACTCTTTCTTTACCTCATGGCTAAAGTATCTAGTATCAACTTTGGAAGAAGTCAATGAAGTGCCGACCTCGAGAGGCCTGTACGTAATAACGACGACATTCAGCCCTACAGTTGCCCGGCGAGGGACTTTCAGCCGGAATATAAATTATTACCCTAACACAGCCAGGTCAATGGTGCATACAGTGGGGACATATTGCATTTAATTATAAAGGTATCCAAAACATGAACGAAGCAAGCGCCCCGAACTATTGATCGCTAGGAGATTTTTCTCGGTGGCTACGCCCCGAATGTGGGGACTGCGGAACAGCAGCCCCGTTCTCGGGCGGCGGGGCCAGTCCAGCCTCTAGCCGCAAGCGGGTCACCACGGGTCCCAGCGCAAAATGACTCTCCATGCTGCTGTGGTCGGCACACGGGCTCTTCTTGATCGGCAACAGCCAATCGAAGACATTGTATCCCATGACTTGCTGGAGATTTTTCAATGGGCTGCCTAGGTCGAAGGGGTTCTCGCCCGGCAGAGTGTGGAGGATGGCGAAGACGTGGCGTTCGCCCGAGGGGGAGTTTGTTGTTTGCGGTTGGGTTGGAGTCGAGGGTGTTTGTAGTGGGTAGGAGACCATGCGGAATGTCGGAGCCCAGGGGGACTCGGCTACCCAGAGTCGCTCGAGGAGATGTTCTGGGACACGGATGGCAAGGGTCCAGACGGCGGTGCGTCGGTTTAGGTTTTCGATTGTTGTGATGTTGAAGATGCCCATTTGGACTGAGCTCAGGGTCATTCCGGCGGTGAAGAAGGCGAAAAGGCCGCTCCTAGTGGTTTTTATTAGGCTGGTAAATCTCCTGAGCATCCTATGTGTGGGCACTTACAGTCCAATGCCGACACACCAATGGGGGTTTACTCCTCCGGTCTGCTTGAAAGGTTAGTAGCGGGCTCTTAGTGAATTGGAATGGTAGCTTATGGAAGTCTCACCTGGCGTCGGATCTCCGCTGTAAAATAAGCACACACTATAAGAGCAAAGGTACAGAATATGCAAGTATAAGCAACGAATTGAATGAAGAATTTGAACGATGTCACGGACACCACGCCTCCAACCCTGCATTCTGTCAGCTTGATACTGGTTTTGCGGAAAGTTGTTGTTATCATACCAAGGACAAAAGTGATCCATTTTGCGCACACATCGTCCCAACTCGCGGCAGTGGTGCGCCCTGTCTGGCTTGTACTGACAGCACGTGGTGCACCACAGGGGCCGGCCATCCGCCTCGCAGACGAAGACATCTTTTGTGTAGAAGCTCTCCAACTCAATATCTGACTGAACTGCGGTGCCTACAGCAGTAGAGATCGAGCCTCTCTCCACATCCGCGTCTGCCTGAATTGTCTTTTCCGGATCGGGTTTGCGCGTACTTTTCTTCCCACGTCGGCGCTTCGATTGCTTTTCATTCTCGTCATCCGCCACTCTTTGTTCACCGAGGGGAAGGTATCCGGGGTTCCACAGGACTTGGTAATAAAGATGCAAATATGAAACGACCATGGGGATTAAAAGGACGTAATAGATTGCGATGATTGCGGCGCCAGCGCCGACTCGGGGGCTTCGGTTATGGGAGGGTAGCGGATAAATTAGATAGTCGACTAAGTTTCACATTGTTAGTACCCTGGTAAAAAAAAGTCCTCGACCAAATTCACGGAAAACTCACTGCATAATGGTTTCGTGACCGCATACGAAGCGTATACCACAGCGCCGAGTAACATAGGCGGAATGAGCCTGGATACTATGACGTTGGCGCGCTTCTGCGCGGGAGACGCCATATATACGGAATCAATACAGCAATATCAAATGCATGGATTCTAATGAATGCCCTCGAGGGACTGCAAGGTCCGGATCGAGTAGGGAAGGTCGTTGAATCAAACAGTGCAAACCTGACGTAATCGGACCTCATCCTGGGGTTCGTTCCCGTTTGGGTCCCAAGGATCGGGGCATCGGTAGAACCTTGAAAACACCCTGGGCATACAGCTTGCCCTGCTTTTCAACCTCAGCTACCGTGTCCATACGGCAAATATCGGGCCTACTATTACTCATTCTATATTTCTCAGCTGCGACCGTCAGATAAGGCCACACGAATGTCAGATTATCTCTAAACTCTTTTTAGATCTTGACGGTGTTACGGTTGTACTCGATAGAGCTCGATATAGTATCTGGAATGGCACATGGCATGGAATTTCCGCGGATCTACGGGTGAGAATTTAAATTAGAAATCAGCCGTTGAGTTTCACAGCATCTCGTAATCTGTAATTCGTAAGAAATAACCCAAAAATGTCCAAACCAACAATGATGAAACCGATTTTTGAGGGAAAAAAAAAAAAAAAAAAAAAAAATCTCCATCATATTCAGGTTGTCAGAAACCAAAGCCTAGGTGACTTAGGCAACACTGCTCAAGGCGCGGAACCCTGGGACACCTGACTCGAATGACTCTTCATTTTGCTTTTCGAAGCAGCCGGTGCCTGGAAAACTAGGGGAAGAGTGGGGTATATCCTATGCCTTCGAAACCAATTGATCGAGTTCATTTACCAAGGCATCAATGCCAAAAGGAATTCGAGAATTTAGACCGTTATTTCGGAGCACCCGAGTGACCAGAACCCGTTGACGCACATACATTCTCCTGGGTAAGCCAGGCCATCCGAGACGGTGTGAGCATTTGCTTAGCCCCGGATAATAGTGGACCCGTTGACTCAATACGCCTAATCTTCAGAGATGATTCATAGATTCCTCACATTCTAGGCACAACTGGGGTGTTCTGGGTAATGACAGAGCCCCGGACTACACTAAGCCACTGTCCTGGGCAACCCATCTCGCGGGTGATGTGCAACTAAGGCCAACTTTTACCCCGTCGCCCCAATGGGTGCCCGGGTAATGAACTCGGCCAATTACGATGTGGATCTTATGTCGCAAGGCAGCCTGGGCTGTTGACTGCTCTAGGAACGCTGCCTTGCGCTTCTGCATCTATTATATCTATTCTAGTTTCTTCACGTATATAGCTCTCGTGGATTCCCCCTGTTGAAATTCAATTCCATTCTCAAACTCAATCAATACATCCAACTATCAGTCCAGCAAGACCTTCACTATAAAGACCTTCGACTCGTCTTCCACCAAATCCTCCATTCTGTCTATAATAGCTATCCAACCTATCCAACCCATAACATCAATGACGTCTCTGTGGTATTGCTGCGATTGCCACTTCGGCCCTCACAACTCGTCTCTCTACGACTCCTGCATCCAGTGTGGAAGAGTTCGTTGCGCTCGCTGCGTTGACGAGAAGATCTCCGACAGTATGAGCATCCACTCGCACTCCCACGACAGCAACCCGATCTCCGCATACCCAACTGCCGTCTCATTGCACTCGCCTTGCACCCCAACCTTGAAGACCACAGCCATGCCCATAGTCGTACCAGAGCTTCCCGGTCTACGGCCTCTACCACGGGCCGACTGCACAGGCATCTCGTCAGCCTCACTACCTGGAACGAGGCAAAACAGTCCGACCTACATGTATATCTGTTGCGAATGCGGAGACGGGCCTAAGATCTACAACATTCAACCTCGATGTGTGGTATGCAACCACACAGCTTGCAACAATTGCGCGGAAGTCAAGTGAGTCTTTTTGAAACGCTATCTCGCGGGCCGAGAACAGGGTACTATGAATACAATGGTAAGCGACTCCGATGCTCACTCAGCATTTCGGTGGTTCTTGAAGCTGACAGTTCGGAATAGTGGAATAGTGATTCCGAGCTCTACTGTTACTTTTTCTTTTTGCGATTTTCGTTTTATTTCTGGAATGCTTCTTGTTATGCAAAGCGGGTTATGGGTCATGAGCATATATGGTGTAATGCTTCTTATTTTTGTTAGACTAGAATTTTGTATACTTGCGGTTTCTTGATTTGGTTTAGCGCAAGGCCAGCGGGGCTGGATTCCCCTCTGTCTGCCTTGGCCGTTTGATTTTGATATGTTTCTTTATGTTTCTTTTCTTTTTCTTTTCTTTTTTGTTTATGGAATCAATATTATGGTTATTACTATTATTCTTACCACTCCGTCTCGTTTATGCGCCAAGCCGTAGAGTCATCGTGATCTTCAAGGTATGCAGCAAACCACCCCCTGCTCTGAGCCTCATGGGCCCGGCCTCAAGTATCATGGTTGGTTGAAATAATTTGCGGCTCAGCCAAATATGGACCCCGCTATGCTGAGTGATGTACTCTGTATGCAAGCCAAGATGAACTAGCCTGCTTCTCCTATTCTTTTTACCGCTCCTTTGCTCTGGCATCTGCAGCAAACAGCCCTATGGCCCATAATGAAAAAAGCGGTCTTGGTACTCGGAAGCTAACACGGACGATGTCTATTAATCCTTGTGCTCCGCTTCTCTTTGACCTCGATCTTTTTACCTTTGTGACCCTTTAGACTTCACTTATTTACGGCTTATTTTCTTACTTTGACCTCGACTCAGCCCCCTATGGCATGTTCTATGGTGCTATTCCCATTTCTCTATGTCCCGTCTATCCCGTCTCCCAACTATATCATTGTAGTAGCCCCCACCTGGGCACTTCCAGTTTGGACTTTGGGGCTGTGCTGGACTGTGCGCCCCGAACAGGTTTTGCTTGGCTTTTTCCCTCTACTTTGTACGTGCGCGCTTGTCCCATCACCCTGAAACTCCCCTGTAAATTGGCGTAGACGCAAATTACTACCATATCCACAACCCATCCATCTTCCCTATTGGTATTTTCCTTGACTGTTTCCTCGCACTTCCAATGTTTGCCCGGTCGCGGACTTCACTCTCGGGCGCTACGCGCGGGATCTATCTCTGGCATGGCTATATGGCTATATGGACCTACGATATTACTACTCCATGCACAATGTCAATACAAGGAGAAGAACATATGTAACCGAATGCGAAGAAGCCCCGGACCAATCAGCAAGAATCTGTTGAATCCAAGACATCCGGTCCGCTGATCTGCCTTGCCCTGACTCAACTCGTGTAGATATGTTTCTACAATAGGAAAAATGTCAGTGTTGTATTGCATCTTTGATTAGTAGAGATAATATTTAAAAAAAAAAAGAAAATCTCACCGTATACACTCTGCTACTTTACTATTATTATCTCTGAATTTCTGAACCTTCTTGAAACAGTCACACCAACCCTGGCCCCCATCTCCTTGACTCTGCACGCTATACTTAGCATCCACTAGCCGCACAAACCCACTTCTTCTTTCTTCTTACTCCGTACAAAGTACGGGAATGAGTCTTTTCCTTCGTCTGGGTCTAGACTTGTTTTTAAGATTTGACTTCTTTTCAAGCTGCATCTCTCAGCTGAGATGCTACACAGCTGAAAATACGTATCTAGCACAGTTGAAGTGATGTAGTAAGCTCTTCGTAGGTAGGACTTTGTCAAGAGTATTGTTTTATTTTATTCTTGGTCTATTCTATTCCTTCGGCTACGAATGAATGAGTCAACGATTTTAGCGTGTTTTTCAAATGGACATGGTTTATCTCGGAGGTCGGCTGGATTTGAGTCAGAACTTATCCATAATCCAAGCCAGTTGCAAGGTAATTGGTGTTTATTTCACTAGTACTAAAGATAGAAAGAGACCAATAGTTGGATAGGGAAAAAAAAATACATATTGACTGATTGCTATGAATATGTTCTGTGAACCCGCCAAGATTCTAATGGTGCAACCGCACCCTCCAGTGTGCAGATTAGCAGTAGAGCCAGAGCTCCCCCAGAGCTGAAACTGCCAAAGTTACGACCAGCAGCTGAGACGCAGACGCCCCAACACCCCGTTGTGAGGTCACTAGGCAATGAAAGGTCCAGAGCCTAGATTTAACAAAAAGAGAGAAAAAAAAAAGGACTCAAAGAGCGCGAGGCCCCCAATCGCGCAGATCAAATGCAGTTGTAATGCAGGGAAGAAAACGCCGAATCGGCTTATGATGCAGATGATAACCAGGTCATGAATGCGAGAGCCTTGAAAAGAGGCGGTGGCATGGGATATTGTATTCAAAAATGGATGGCATCATGGCCATGATGAGGGTTGTCTAAGTCCATGTGTTGATGATGTTTTTCCCCCGCCATCGAAGTTCTTTCGACGCCGGTGTTCACAAGACTGATGGAAGACAGCTCACCTGGAGAGGACTCTTAAAGGGTCCAATGAATGAGGGAGAATGTTACAGGGACAAGACACGCGACGGGTCTTGGAGGAAGCGCCTACGGTATGCGGCTATCTCAGAGGCCACAGTGTTGAAATCTTTCACCTTGTCACGCCGTAAGTCGTTGATGATCTCTTTCAGACCAGCGAGATATGCTTCTTTTTCTTCTTCGGTTTGACCCTCTCGGACAGAGCCCATCTGGACGAGAATCTTGTCGTCTGTCGAGGTTAACGGGTCTGTGGTCAGCATTCGAACAGGGTAAAAAAAAAGAAATGGCAAACGAGTTGGATGGAAAGGAAGCAGAGGCAAGAGACTAAGGCAGTAGAGCAATAAACAGAAAGTAGAAACAGACTAGATAGTGCAATACGCCGGTGGGGGAGCTCGAGGACGAGGTGGGGTGTTGCACGTTGTTCATGTCGACGCACCGCTTAGAGTCATGTCTCGAAAATGCTGAAACTCGCAGGATCGGTCATTGCAGACACCCCCGGCCAACTCATATGGACACATGTATTTCATGGAATCGATATTATGACTGTAAGTTAGCGAGCGGTAGCCACTCGGAACGTCTTCGGCATAATGCGGGTGGTAGCGATAAGCCTTGAAAGTTCGCAGTGGGCTGGTGTACGGCGTGAATCTTCGCTCCGAAATAGCGGGCGATGCTTCAGTCTAGATAGGGGTTAGTATGGGGTCACTAAAAACTTCCTCTGAAAAGGGGTAGTGTTCATACGCCAGGAGCGCCAACCTGCAAATCCGACCGAGGTAATGGGTCTGACATCTGAGGCGTGCTGGTTAGTTCTTCATCAGCTTGAGTCAAGTCAAATGACGGTGCCGAGACTGCCGTGTTTTCTACGAGACCGGAAAGAGCTGGGCTGAAAGGAGGAGGGCTGTAACTGGAGCCTTCAGACTGTGATTCAGCATCAGGCTCTGGGGGTTCATAACCGTCAGATTCCGCAGACTCCTCACGCTGAGATTGTTCGCTAAGGTGATGTTGAGAAACGAATTCGTCGGCAGAAGCTGCACTGGGATGGGTGATGGCAGAGGGCGAGCTCCGAGACGTCGATCGCTCCGAAGAGTCAATCTCCATGGGCTCTGAGAATGATGGCATAGTAGTAGGATCAAGATCGGCTTGAGCTGGCGAAGTAGTAGGTTCGTCCTCACTCTCGCTGGACGAATCGGAACTATCACTGCTGCTGTCATCAGATTCTTGCATAGCCGACCCAGCTGAATCGGACTCGAACGAAGCCGATGCCTTTGCTGTGCTATCGATTACACCATCTGCCACTTCCTCAGCATGGGATTCTTTAAATGGTTCTCGAGTAGTAGTGCCTTCGATTGATGCATCTAGTTGGGCAACAGGGGTAGCCGGCATAAGCGTATCAGGGGCGGCCGTCGTTGGCTTAGCATTTGAAGAATCTGGGTAATGGTTAGTTGAAGCGCAAAATTCTCTCTTGAGAATACCCAAAAATTATTATGTCCTAGAAAGAGACAGACAGAGAAAGTAAGGATTTAAAGAATATTACCTTCAGAAGTAGCTGCTACCACGCTGGTTTGTCCACCGGATGATGATGATGCCCCAGAGTCATCCAGGGTGCGAGGCGACTGGGTTCGGCTGGCAGCGAGCTTTGATTTCCTTCGTAGCTCCAGCTCCGCAATCTTGCGGCGCATAGCTTGAATTTCCATGTCTTTTAGTCGAATGTCCCCTTGGTCACTGAGACTAGAAGGTCCTTGTGGCGTAGCTGTCGAAGCCCGGGTGGTAGGAGGATTTGATTGGACAGAAGGATTCACAATGGTCGAGGTCACTATCGGCACTGGTTCCTGCTCTGAGCTCGAATCCAACTCCATATTGTCATCCTCGTCATCGCCGTAAAGTGATTCATCGTCGCTGATTGCAATGATGAGTTTATCGGCAGGGTCGAACCGAGTCACAGCCGGGTTAAAATGCTTCTTCGGAGGTGCAACTGGCTCATCGAAATCGGACGCCCGAGGCCGCTTGCGTTGGGAAGTTTGAGACATAGGTGTTGAGTCAAGGTCCATCACATGTACCGGCTCAGAGGCAAGTGGTTCATGTGGCTCCTGCTCCAATCCAGCCATGAGAAGTCCTGGAAGGCCGGCAGAGCGACGAGATTCGGGCACAGGAGGTCGAAGAGGAAGCGGGTGTTGAATAGCTGGCGCCGGAGATTCCAACTGGATGGGTGGCAGATTTGCCTGAGCCAATTTCTGGGTCTTCAGCAAAGTCTGTCTTTTGAGTTCCTCAATTCGCTGCCTTGCCAACTCCGTCTGGGCTTTGCGTTTTTCCTTCACGAGAGCTTCCTTTGGAACCGAACGGGCAGCATCAACTGGTATAGCGGGAGGGGGTTTCGCACTGCCAGTGGGTGAAGTTTCTTTAGATGTCGTCTTGGCAGCTTTCTCAGCCAGCATCCGGGCGATCAGTTCCTTTCGCTCCAGAGGCTTGCCAGCTTTGGGGGGAGGGGCGGCAGATGGGGCGCAAGGTTGGGGCACTGGCAAATCCGACTTCGTGGTGCCGTGAGTCTCTTTCACTATCTTGGTCCCCTCAGAGGAGCTGCTAGATCCTAATCCCTTGCTAGCAAATACAGTCACGGCGGAGGCCTTCTCAGGAACTGGTGGACCTTGCACAGGCGATGCGGTGACCTTGATGCCAACTTCGTCGTAAAGGCGTTTCAGGATCATAGGGTTGATACCCTCTGCGACTAGTTCATCGTAGCGGATGTTATGGGGCGCCAAGCTGAGCAACGCGCCTTGGGCTTGAATTCGTAGCTGCGCCGCTGATTTCCGAGGTGGAGGGGCGGGGACAGTTGCAGGCGGGTACGGCTGCTGAGACTGCATCGCATGATGGACCATGCTTGCCTCTGCGGAGACTGACAAAGGAGGGTTGTATGCTGCATGTTATTAGTGAAACAGAATCAAACACAAGGAAGCATGGGAGTAATACGTGACCCACTACTCCTAGCGGATTGCGCACTAGAAGATATGGTTTCTCCTTCTTCTAGGTCCAAATACTGGCGCGTAGACTTCGGTTGTACTGATTTTTCATCCAATTCTTCACTAACTTCACCCTCTTCACGGTGATTATTTGCCTGAACTGGGGTGTCTTTCAGACGTACGGCTTCTGTTGATATTTGGTGTGAGCCATGTCCATCTAGACCCTGATAGGGCATGGCGGGATTTGAGGACCCTGTTGGCATAGGGGGATAGCTCATCGGAGCAAACGGCATTGGAGGGAAGGGAGGTGGAAACCGGGATGCGTCGAAGTGGTTGAAGAAGGGAAACTGAGGCGGAACGAATGTTGAGTTTCCAGCGCCATTTGAACCTGGCATTCGCGAATTCGCGTTAACGCCTCCCATGTTATAGTCGAAGGTCGGCCCAGGATTTGTCGCCAGTGGCTGGTGTATTTGAGAATAATCTGAACTGACTGGAAAGTTCGGAGGAATCATCGAAGGGTATGCAGGAGGCCATTGTTGTGCATAATTCGGATGACCGTGTGAGGGAGGTTGGTCGGACATGGTGTTGTGTGCAGGAATGAAAGAGATGTATTCTCTACGATTCTCAGAAGTGAATGGAGGTGAAGAGAGGTCGCAATTTCAAAGACCAAATCTCATGATGTCTTGAAGGATTAAGCAGGTGGAGAGAGGTACCGGTAGGTCCTCGAGAACAGAATACGCAGAACTTGAATTAAGAGTCACTGTGACGGGTGATAATGATCTTATAGCGATCTAGAAACAAGAAAGGGTCATGCGACTGTGAATCCAAGCTTATAGAGGGGGGAAGAGATGGATAAAGGGTTCGAAGTCGAGAAGGATTGAGATACGCGGTCGTCTCCAAGGTCTAAGCGCCTTCGACAAAAATGATCGAGAATTTCACGTGATATATGCACGGGCCACTTGCGATCGGCGGGCGCCCGAGGAACGCAGAGTAAACAAACATCATGGAAATTGGGGTGCATCACTTCGAATCATCTTGCCTTTTCTTCCAACTTTTCGATTACTTCACACCTCTCCTAATTGTATTCCACTTAGTTTCTTCTGTCTAGGGTGTCCTATTACACTCACCTCCCCTACACTTACAGCTGAAACTGCGGATATAGTCTTGGCTATGATAACGACTGCTGCGCTCAAATAATGTCCCATTGAAATACGATCACCATGCTTCCCTCCCAGTTGAACGGCTCACCAAAGCGTGCGAGTTTGTTCGCTCGCCCATCGTCGTCGCAAGGAACACATTCACCACACGCGAGGCCCAAATCGGCCATTATTACACCATCTCATGGGCTGGAGTCAGCGAGAGGTCATCTACGCAACACATCCGTGTCACAGTTGTCGCCAACATTACCACTAAGCGGAAATCGCGAGCGATCGAACTCTGCAAAAAACAGTCCTTCCTCCGGAACATTCGCGCCAAGCTTTATCAAATCCGAAGAATTACGACGGGGAGCGGATCAGATTCGTGGACTCGAAGGAGAAAATGACTTTTCAGGGAACAAATATGTATGGCTACGAGACCCTCAAAAGGCTTTCGTCCGGGGGCTGGTTTTGGAGGAATCTGAAGGAGGGCGGCTGTTGGTGCAGACCGACGATGGCGACGTATGGATGTAACCCCATTAAGAAGATATAATGCGCTGACACTGGAATAGCAACGAGAACTGGATGCGGACCAGGTCGACAAAGTCAATCCTGCCAAGTTTGACAAGGCAGATGATATGGCAGAACTCACACATCTGAACGAGGCATCTGTGGTGCATAACCTGCATACCAGATATCAGTCAGACCTAATCTATGTTCGTCACACCTGCAAAAATGCACGTACCGCTCCATGATTTTGACTGACTTGATGTCTGTATAGACTTATTCTGGACTTTTCCTGGTAACGATCAACCCGTACTGTCCACTACCAATCTACACCAACGAGTACATCAAAATGTACAAGGGCCGAGGGAGAGAGGAGACCAGACCCCATATTTTTGCCATGGCGGATGAGGCTTTCCGGAATCTTGTCGAGGAGGGCCAGAATCAAAGCATTCTCGTAACAGGAGAGTCTGGCGCGGGTAAAACTGAAAACACGAAGAAGGTTATCCAATACCTCGCTGCTGTCGCCACTTCTGATACGCCTTATGGCCGGTCTGGAGCGAAGCAAATCACTGGTCTTTCACAACAGATTCTAAGAGCCAACCCTATTCTCGAAGCCTTTGGTAATGCGCAAACGGTCCGGAATCACAACTCCTCCCGGTTCGGAAAGTTTATTCGCATTGAGTTCTCGCGCTCAGGCCAAATCTCTGGAGCATGGATCGATTGGTATCTGCTCGAGAAATCGCGAGTTGTCAAGCCAAACCCCAACGAGAGAAACTATCACGTTTTCTATCAGCTTCTCCAGGGCGCAGACCGCAAAACACGCGAGGAGCTTCTTCTAGCGGACCTTCAGATCGAGGATTTTGTCTATACGAGAGATGGAAATGATTCCATTGTGGGCGTCTCTGACCAGGACGAATGGAACTCGTTAATCGAAGCCTTCCATGTGATGGACTTCGACGAGGAGGACCAGCTGTGTATACTGCGGACCATTGCGGCTGTCCTGCACCTGGGAAATGTAGGTGTTGCGAAGGCGAGTGTGCGCGCAGACCAAGCAACTCTAGCGCCTGAGGGTTACTCCAGCATGGAAAAAGCTTGTTACCTTCTTGGTATTGAGCCCGAAGCTTTTGTCAAGGGTCTCCTGCACCCACGTGTTAAGGCCGGCCGGGAATGGGTGGAAAAGGTCCAGACGCCAGACCAGGTACGCATGGCCCTAGATGCCCTCTCTAAGGGTATCTATGAGCGCGGATTTGGAAATCTTGTCGCTAGAATCAACGGCCAGCTAGGCCGCTCGATGGCCAGCGACGACAACTATTTCATTGGGGTGCTTGACATTGCTGGATTTGAGATTTTCGACAACAACAGTTTCGAGCAACTTTGCATCAACTACACAAACGAGAAACTTCAGCAATTCTTCAACCACCACATGTTCGTTCTAGAACAAGAAGAATATGCGAGGGAGCAGATTGAGTGGCAATTCATTGATTTCGGCAAGGACCTGCAGCCAACAATTGACCTCATCGAGTTGACCAACCCCATTGGCATTTTCTCTTGTCTTGATGAGGATTGCGTGATGCCCAAGGCCACGGACAAATCATTCACGGAAAAGCTCCATGGCCTTTGGGACCGCAAGACTCCAAAGTACCGCGCCTCTCGTCTCAACCAGGGCTTCATTCTGACACATTACGCCGCAGAAGTTGAGTACAACACGAGTGATTGGCTTGAGAAGAACAAGGATCCGCTCAACGACAACATTACGCGCCTATTGGCCGCCTCGAAAGCACCGCACGTAGCACATCTGTTTTCCGACTGTGCAGACTCCGAGGAGGATGGTGCTGGAAACCACCCCAGAAGCCGTGTCAAGAAGGGTTTGTTCCGCACAGTCGCCCAAAGGCACAAGGAACAACTATCTAGTTTGATGGCTCAGCTCCACTCAACCCACCCTCACTTCGTCCGTTGTATTCTACCTAATCATAAGAAGCGGCCAAAGATGCTGCACGCTCCTTTGGTCCTAGATCAGCTACGATGCAACGGTGTCCTGGAGGGCATCAGAATTGCGCGTACTGGATTCCCGAACCGATTACCATTCACCGAGTTCCGACAGCGCTATGAGGTCCTTTGCCAGAACATGCCGAAGGGGTACTTGGAGGGACAGAGTGTTGCTCGTACTATGCTGGAAAAGCTCGGCATGGACCGGGGCTGGTACCGCGTTGGTCGGACCAAAGTTTTCTTCAGAGCAGGTGTTCTGGCTGATCTAGAAGAGAAACGTGACCAACTTATCCGAACTATCATGTCCAAATTCCAGTCTGTGGCACGGGGATTTGTTCAGCGCCGCATTTCCAATAAGCGACTCTACCGCGCGGAGGCAACCCGGATCATCCAACAGAACTTCCACGCTTACCTGGACTTGAAGGGAAGCCCATGGTGGCGCATGTTCTCAAGAATGAAGCCCCTACTGGGCGACACGAGAAATGCGAAGGAAGTCAAAAAGCGTGACGACAAAATTCAACAACTCGAAGCCAAGATGAAACAGGACCTTGCAGACCGCAACAAGCTTGACGAAGAAAGACGTCGGACAGAGATCGAGATTCAGAAGATACAGCATACGTTGGAGAGTGAGCGCGCACTTGCATTGGACAAAGAAGAGATTTTCAAGCGACTGCAAGATCGAGAAGTGGAGCTCGCTGAGAAGCTTGCCGGTGCAATCGCCGACCAGGAAGGCCTTGAAGAGCAACTGGATGAATTGGTCGACGCGAAGAGGAAAATCGATGACCAGCTGCAACTTCGAATTACCCAGCTCGAACAGGCCGGTCTGATCATTCAGCAACTCGAGTCAGAAAAGAACAGTCTGCAATCTCAAGTCAAGGAACTTGACAGCAAGCTTTCTGAAACGGAGATCCAGTTCTCTGGAAAGAACGACCAAATTCAAGAATTAGGCCAGGAGATCAAGATGCTCCAAAGCCACCTCAGCTTGAAGGATCGTAAGCTTCAAGATCTAGAAGCCAAATTATTGAAAACCGACCAAGACCTTGATATCAAACTCGCAAACACTTCCAAGGAACTCGACAAATCTAAGAAACAAATCCGTGATCTCTCCGAAGAGAACAAATCAATTCGTGATCAGATTTCCGAACTCTCGAGTACTTCCACAGGCTACGAAGACTTGCTTCGTCGAAAGGAGAGTGAGATCGCAGTTCTTCGAAATGATGTTCAGAAGCACGAGGAAGAAAAGAGAAGCGCTGAGTCCGAAAAGACTTCCCTTTCGGCACGCCACGACAACATGCAATCTAGACTCCGTGAGGTACAAGCCGAGAGAGATGCCATGCGCTCTGAACAAACTCAACTTCAACGCGAAGCCGCGGACCTCAAGAATCTGCTGGAGAATAAGAGATCCGAGGATGCGGAGGCTGGGGAGAGCAGGAAGCTGCTAGAGCAACAGGTAAATGATCTCAAGAGCCAGCTCTTCCAGGCTCAAGCCGACCTCAGCCGAGAACGCCAGTCACGAGATGACGTGCAAATGCTTTCCGAGCACAATCTTGCACAGTTGGCTCAGAAATACGAGACACTCAACGACTCTAAGATTACCATCGAGAAAGAGATGTACATCCAGCAAGATAGTTTGCGTCGCGCTACAGAGGCGCGAGTTGCGGCGGAAACAACAAGGAAAGAACTGCAAGGCGAATTGATCAAGCTCCGCGAGAGGTTCACGGACGCCGAGACTGCCCGTATGAATGCTGAGGCCGAGATTGAACGAAAGATTATGAGCCAGGCTGAGGAGCGCATGACAAGTTCACGCAAGGACCTTGAGGAAAAGGCTCGCCAGCTTGAAGAGGTTGAAACAGAACGATCGCACCTCTCAGGCCGGATTCAAGAGCTCATGCACTCGATCTCTGAATCCGACAACTTCCGTCTGCGCCATGATCAGCATAAGGAACGTCTTG